AGGTGTTGCCATCAGAGGGCCCTCTTACATCATGTATCCCCATCACATCAGGTGTGCTCATCAGAGTGCTCCTTTACATCAAATGTGTGCATCAGAGTGCTCCTTTACATCAGGTATGCCCTTCAGAGCGCCCCTTACATTGGGTGTCCCCATTGGAGCACCCACTTACATCAGGTTTCTGCAGCAAAGACCCTACATCAGTTGTCCCCTTCAGTGTCCCATTACATAAGGTTTCCCCCATCACAGTGACTCCTTGCATCAGAGTGACCCTTTCCATCATATTTCCCCATCAGAGTGCCCCTTGCCATCACACGTGCCAATCAGAGTTCTGATATACTCTGATGTGCACATTTTATGCTAAGGGGCACTCTTATGGGCACACTTAATGCTAAGGGACTCTCTGATGGGCACATTTTATGTTTAGAAGCACTCTGATGGGCACATTTTATTCTAAAGGGCCCTCAGACGGGCACAAGATTAAATGTGTCCATCAAAGTGCCCCTTAAGCACGTCAGCCAAATGACAGCTACAGCACGGTTGTCCAGTTCTGGGAGAGCGTCATATGATGTCCTCCCAGAACGCGCCCTCCCGTGCGCCCTCAGTGGCGCCCACCCAGCGATCTCCATGATTGCTCTGTCTTACGTATACAGCTGATCACGTGATGAGGTAAAAGGCCAGTCACAGCAGCCTTTTGGCACGTGATCAGCTGTGTCCAATGACACAGCAGATCATGGAGTAAATCCAGCTGCCGGTTATCGGCAGCACTTCCTCACGCTGTCACAGTGCTGCCCATCAGTGCTGTCAGTCAGTGCCGCTTATCAGTGTCCATTATTGGTGCATATCAGTGCAGCATGATCAGTGCCTCCTCATCAATGCCCACCAGTGCAGCCTATCTGTGCCATTTCATCAGTGCTGTCTCATCAACGCACATCCGTGAAGGAAAACAATTACCTGTTTGCAACATTTTGTAATAGAAACAAAGAAAACTTTTTTTCTTTTCAAATTTTATGCTCTTTTTTTTGTACCCAGTGGCTATTAAACACCACCAAAAGAAAGCTCTAGTGATGTGAAAAAAATGATAAAAATTTCACATGGGTACAGTGTTGCATGTCTGCAAAATTGTCATTCAAAATGCAACAGTGTTGAAAGCTGAAAATTGGCATGGGTACGAAGGGGGTAAAAGTGCCCGGTAGGCAAGTGGTTAACATAAAACAAGCCAAACAGAGTGCCTCTTAGCATATTATGTGCCCATGACCGTGCCCTATAAATATTTTTGATATATGAATACACTCTACCTTGAGTGCACGCAGTAAATGTGAGGGGCAAATTCTCTCCCCAACCCCCGTCCCCCCAAATCTGCCCTTCTAACACAAATCCTTTCTAATTACTCCCCCCTGAACCCACCTTCCTAACACAAATTCCTCCAAATCCTCCCTTTTAGCTCAAATCCTCCCTCCTCCTCCACAAACCTTTCATCCCATGCACAAATTATTGTCTCCCCCACCCTGAAACTTACAGGCAGGAACTCTACATGAGAAATTACAGTGGGAGGTGGTGCAGACTGTGTTGTGCTCTCCCCACTCCTGTCAGAACAGTGCTCCTCCATGCAGTAGATGACACAGGATCGCTCTTGATCAGACTGTACCAGGTTTGATTACTTTCCCCTTACCCACATTTTCTGCTTCCAGGAGTTGAACAGTCCTTGGAGGAAAGAGGGTTGGGTAGTCAAACTGTATACAGTCCGATTTAACAGTAATTCTATCTCATCTACCACATGGCTGAGTGCTGTTCTGACAGGAGAGGAACAGCACAGCCTTCACCTCCACCTGGCTCTTTCCTCTCTGCTGTTGTCATTTCCATTCTGACTTTACTCTTCACTGTAGTTCACTGTGCCAGACTGTGCTCACCTTTGTCCCGGTCCCGAGTATGGGGACAGGAGTGTGTGTGTGTGTGTGTGTGTGTGGGGGGGGGGGGGGGGTAGATCAGCAGGCCATGGGTGGGGTTTACAGGCTTGGGAGGGCACAACTGAAATTCGTCTTTTTGGTTTACCTTTTTTTTTCTTTGTTTTTGTTTGTAGAAATTCTATTTTACAGTTTGATTTGATTAATAAAAAACAATCAGCTACAATTCAGTCTTGGCAGGAACGTAAACCTGTATATATTTTTTCTGTGGTCTTGAGTAGGTCTGAATAAATGAACACTATTATGTTTAAGTGAGTTGTATCCGCAGCTTCCAGGCTACTTCTATCAGTATTTATATTTTCCTTTTTTTATCCAATAATCATCCATTTTCTCCAAGCCTATTTGGTTTCTCAGAGACCACATTGTTTCCTGGAATTTAATTCTTGTTCAAGAGCATTAATAGGTCACTGTGTTCAGGCCGACGGCTGAAAGCCAATTGGAAGTAATAATGTCATTCTGACCAGAGCTGGTAGCCAAGCATTCATTAAACTAAATGTCAGGTGGGACCCGATTCTGAGTTGTATGTATGATTGTGCATCTTACAGATTGTATACCTAGATTTGTATTTTGCAGAGCTATATGTGTATGACTGTGCTTCTTTTGATGATCATACATATGCAGAAATCTCATGTTAGGTCTCCTTTTTTAATGTGTACTCGGATTTCCTTAACCTTTTCCACATGGTGTACATTTGGACACTGTTCTGCAAGAATGGAAGAAGTGACTGCTCAGGAAAGAATTGAATGCTTCTGGCTTTTGTGTGGTTGGTTGTTTTGTCATGATGTGGGCTCTTGGCTCCCATCCAAATTGGTCCTATCAGTCATACTTGACTCTCAGCCCCCGTCACACCTGAGCATTATATTGTGTGTTTCAGTGCATTTCCCCACACGCAGCAGTGCTCAACTTCAAAACTCTTGTTCTTTTTCTTTTTGGCTGTTCACATCTCTGTGCTCAGTTGCTTGAAAGTCGAAGCACACAAAGGTACATAACGTCTTTTGGAGCTGTGTTGCGTGTTTTGGCCCAACAGACTTTATTTGAAGTCCCTGTAAATGTGCAACATAAGTGTTTTTTCTTTATTTTTTTGGACCCGAGAGACTGTTCTCTGCTCTCCTCCTCCTTGTCTCCCCAAGACAAAAACATGAGCTTGCATACATGTTCAAGAATACTTGCAACACACATAAAAAATGTGCACATAAACAATTCCAAATCACCTGAAAAACTCTTGGCTCAGGTGTAAATGTGGGCTCAATCTTGCAAACTGGGCTGTTATTGAGAAGTTATCTCAGATGGCCCTAATCTACTGATGTATTGCAAGTTAAAGTGGTTGTAAACCTCAGACATGAAATATGAACAAAGCCTATCTATAGTGTGTACTTGCCTCACTTAGGCTCCATGCACACTAGGCGTTTTAATAATGCTGGTAACGTTAGCTGTGTAAATAATAGAAAAAACCTTCTGCACTGCTATAGGTATAGATAGGACTATTGAAAAAAAGCTGCAAACACCTAGACCGGGTGTCGGCAACCCGCGGCTCTTTTTCACCTTGGCTGCGGCTCCGGAGCACACTGCCCACCAGGTGACAGGCAATAGGGCAGCAATGGGCAAACTACGGCCCGGCGGACCTTTTAATCCGGCCCGCGGAGCTAGGCTCCCGCTTGGCTCCTCTCACAGTCCGCAAAGGTAAGTGAATTGACACAGGGAGGACTTGGGGACTTAATATGGGGGCTGAATTACTATAGGGGGGATGAATTACTATATGGGGGATGAATTACTATATGGGGGATGTATTTTCAGTTTTAAAAATGTGGCTCTCAAAATAAATTTCAATCGTGGTTTTGGCGAGATTTGGCTCAGTTGAAAAAAAAGGTTGCCCACCACTGACCTAAGGCTATGATTGTGATTATGACGATACACTGTGGCCCTGATTAACCCTTTGCTTACTGGGCCCTTAAACCTCCTTCATGACCAGAGCGCTTTTTGCAATATATGCAGTGTCGGATTTGTTTTAAATGTTGCAATGGTTTTGCGGCTCCCAGTCTTTTTTTCCTTCTCGAAAACGGGTCCAAGTGGCTCTTTATGTCTTAAAGGTTGCAGACCCCTGACCTAGACCTAGACACCACTTGCACAAGGAAACAAAACAAATAAAATGGTTGTGCGCTAATATCAACAGTACTAAGGACACAATAATTAGAAGAGTGGGGAGACAGAAAAAATAACCCCAAAACAAAGGTGATCAGTATAAAGGCCTGAATCCAGACCTAATTAGGTGCAATATGATCTGTGACAAAGACAACATGAGTAATAATCAGCAAGTGAACATAAATAATACATAAAAATGTAAAGACCTGAACCCAGACCAAACTAAGTGCAATATAGATGGTGATGAAATACAATACAATAGTCAACAAGTGAACATAAATAATGTATTCAACATAATAGGACTAACACGTTCTAAATAATAGTGCACAAAAAACACTGTGCAAAGAAAAATGTGCCAAAATCAAATATCAACAAATATGTGCAAAACTAATCGTACAAGGTGCATGAAACTATAAATGCATCATAAATAATACATAAAAATGTAAAGGCATGAAACCAGACCAAACTAAGTGCAATATGGATTGTGATGAAAACAATGTGCACAACAATCAACAAGTGAACATAAATGATGTATTCAACATAAAAGGACTAACACGTCCTAAATAAAAGGGCACAAAAAGTGCCGTGCAAAGAAAACTGACAAAATCAAAAAGCAAAAAAATATATGTGCAAAGTTAATCATACAAGGTGCATGAAACTAAAAATGCACCTTATAATCAGGATTAAAGCAACGTGCCATATAACAAATGAGTGACCATCAAAATAAACAAGTGATCATCAAATCGGCATAAAGTCCATGTAAATAGAACGCCAACTCCAAACGAACAAAGCAACTGAGTGAAATGAATGATAGATCCGTCACCGGCTAAAATGCCTCCTCACCTCAACGCCAAGACCCCAAGGGGCCACACAGATTTCAGGCCTCACACTCCCAGGGCCCTTAACCTCTCTGGCGGTATTCCCGAGTGTAGCTCGGGGTAAAGTTTCAGTACCACAAGTGGTAACCCTGAGCTACACTCGGGCTTACCATGCGGCGCTGCTGCGAGATCCCTCGATCACTTACCTTGTCCTGCGCTCCCACGATGTCCCTCCTGCAATGTAATCCGGTGGTGCCGACATCTGTCATCTGGGTTCCGTCCCCTACGAGCGTCGGGACGTACGGGGGACGGAACGGCGGGAAATTTGAAAATGACAAACAGTGACATTCACTAAAATGACATAGTAAAACATTACTGTATCAAAGCATTTCACATACATTTTGTCCCGAGTGCTTTGTCCTGTGTCCTGCCTGCATTTTTACTGTTCTTTCTGCCTGGAAACTGAGAAACGTACATGGCATCCAAAAAGCGTCCCTTTAGGTCAAAAGCTGCTTTAGACCAGCTAGAGAACAGCGATAGTAAATTAGAACCACTTGCAGAATTGAGTGATAATGATTCGTGGGGAAATTCGTCACCAGACACTGAATACGATTTTGCGACTAAGATCAGTGATGTGCGAACTTAGTGCTATATTTCAAATTTCAGTGTCTTTGGTTTGATTATATTATTGAATTAAATGTATTATTATTATTATATTATTATTTTTTATGATTATTTATTAAATTATAATTTATGTTTTCGTGTTGCAAGTTTTATCATACCCGGGATGTTTACTAGACCCAGCCAAAAAATACTGAATACAGTCTATGTGTACATGGACACATAGGATAACATGCTGGCTGTAAAAAAAACGCCAAACACCAGAAACAGCAGCTGTAAAAACGTCCAGTGTACATGAGGACTTAAGAGCACTAAGTGTCATTTCTGTCTGCTGCTATCAGCACAAATCATTTCTGACAAGTTTTCCTGACACCAAGAGAAAAATGGTGATGGGGGAACTTCCAGCAGACTAATAGCCTCAGCTCGGCTCCAGAGAACTGTGTGAAGCAGAGGGTGTCTCTTCTATCCAATAAGCTCTCAGTTCTTTTCCCCATAGAACTGTGCAAAGCTCTCCGCCCCCTTTTTTCTGATCTCTCAGAAAAGCTTATAGTTGCAGCACTTTGAACATATATAGAGAAGAGAAGACTGCATATAAATAGGTACACCTTATGTAGGAGAATTTGTTTCATCTCAGTGTATCACCTGAGAATAGTCACTTCACTGGGGATATGTAAGGGTTTACAAGCACTTTAACTATTAATACACATATGTCTGTGTCTTGTAGAGGGCGTGTGACCTGACCATTGCCAGAAACAACTGCAAGCCTATGATCAGTATTGTTTATTGCTGCATTTTGATTCCTTGGTAAGAGTTGTTTATGGGCAATGTTCAGTGTGAAGTATTACAAACTAGTATCGTTGACAGTGTGATCAAGTTTTTTTTTTTCAGTTTTTATTCAGGGGAAGGAAATTTTTTTACAAAAAACATATGAGGACAAAACATATTTCACTCAACATCTTTAACCATTAGCCGCCCGGCCAATAGCCGTTTGGCGGCTTGAAAAGCGCTGCAGCTTTCCGGGTCCACGCCATTTGGCGTGCTCCCGCACATGCGCCGTTTGCGCTATTGCAGAGCGGCGCAGCAGCGGGATCTGTCACCGCCCGTGCACCTCGGACACGGCCGATGACAGATCCGAGTACCGGCTCCCGTTGCCGGTACCATGTGACCTGCCGCGACCAATCACAGCAGGTCACATGACAGTTGTATACAATGGATGGCTTCATTCATGATGCCATCCATTGTATACTAGTGCCTAGCTGTGAATGGTCACAGCTAATCACATGCACATGTCATGTGATTAGCTGTGACCAAATCACAGCTAAGCACAAAAAAAAAAAAAAAAAAAAAAAAAAAAAAAAAAAGCTGAATGAATCGATTTCATTCAGCTAAATGCTTGCTTATAGCAAAGTAATTCTTTGCTATAAGCAAATTGTGTAAAAAAAAAAAAAAAATACTGATCACTTCCCCAAAGTAGTACAATGTTACTATGGTAACATTGTACTATTTTGGTCATAGTAAAATATGAAAAAAAATCTTAAAAAAAATAAAAAAAAAATGTAATAAAAAATTAAATATAATAAAAAAATAAAAAAAAAAATTAAAAAAAAATATAATTTTTTTTTTTTTTTTTCATACTGTCACCAGTCAGTGTCCCTGTTCACCGCCATGCCAGTTATATGATGACGCTGTACTGCACTGGTGACAGTATGTAAAAAAAAAAATAGTGAAAATAATATTTTTCATTTTTTCATTTTCGGAAAAATTATGACAAAAAAATACAACTTCAAAAAAACTCGCCATGCCTCTTATGAAGTACGTCCGACTGTCTACTCAGCAAAAAGGGGTCATTTGGGGATATCTGTACTATTCTGACATTCTTGGACCTCAAGAAATTAGATTGGCTGTCAGTACTTCAGGATTGATCAATATTCAGATCTATACCATAGTTTGTGAACTCTATAACTTTCCTACAAACTAAATAATACATCCTAATTTGGGTTATTTTCACCAAAGACATGTAGCAGAATACATCTCGGCCTAAATTTATGAAGAACAATTATTTATTTGTAAACTTTTATAACAGAAACAAAGAAAAATGTGTTTTTTTTTCAAAATTTTTGGTCTTTTTTTGTTAATTTAGCAAAAAATAAAAACCCCAGCGGTGATTAAATACCACCAAAAGAAAGCTCTAGTTGTGTGAAGAAAATGATAAAATTTTAGTTTGGGTACAATGTTGTATGACTGCGCAATTGTCATTCAAAGTGTGAGAGCGCTGAAACCTGAAAAATGGCCTGGGCAGGAAGGTGTAAAATTGCACGGTATTGAAACGGTTAAAGTAGCATTCCAATCGTAATGAACTCTAAACCTTCTCTCACCCCCATTCTAAAGCTATTATATCTAACCCTGAAGAGATCGCTATACCTGCCTATTCTAAAGCCACTCTGGTCCAACAATGGCTGGAAAGTGCCTAGGAGATGATGTCATCCATAGGTTTACAATGGGGCAACCATTGACAGCTGCCTCTGCTCTACACAGAAGCTGCTGCTGACAGCTTAGCCTGGGACCGGACCAGAGCGGCTTCAGAATAGGTAAGTATAGCGATATCTTCTTTACAGGGTTAGATAGAATAGCTTTAGAATGGGTGTGGGAGTAGGTTTTAGAGTTAGGTTAAGACTGGAATTCCACTTTCTTATTTAATTAATTTTCAGTACTTATATAGCGCCCTCCATTTATGCAGTGCTTTACATATATATTGTACATTCACATCAGTCCCTAACCCTCAAGGGGCATACAAGCTAAGGTCCCTAACTTACATTCATACATACACATACAAGGGCCAATTTAGACAGGAACCAATTAGCCTACCAGCATGTCTTTGGAGTGTGGGAGGAAACCAGAGTAACTGGAGGAAACCCACGCAGGCACAGGGAGAACATGCAAACTCCTGGCAGGAGGTGGCATGGCTGGGATTTGAACCAACGACCCTAGTACTGCCAGGCGGAAGTGCTAACCATTTAGCCACTGTTCTGCCCCACTTTAATGACATACTTGCTTCTCCACTGGTTAACAAAATCATTGACTTTTCCACGAGATAGCAGTTATATAATATCAAAATATCAATAATTGTGGTGTACAGTCAGTATGTTGTGGTGAGATTTCTGTGCCATTTAATGTCTGCATTATTGATGTAGATACGGCTCCAAAAAAACTTGTTCTTATTACACTAGTGGTTCCAGAGGACACAAGGGTGGATTTCATTCATTCCTATCTGTTCTACAGAAGGGGAAAATATTTGTAGTAAAGTGTGTAATATTTGTTAATCAGTGTTCATACATTTTGATTCATTTATTCTGTTGTTCCAGGAAAGGATGCTGATGGATCATGTACAGAGGTTTGATCTTCTGTTGTTGAGCCGTACAATTCTGCGGGTGGCAGAGTGAGATGGGACAGTGCAAGGAAACAGATTATTGAGTTTAGTGAATATAGCAGATAACCGTTATGTGTTTGCAAATTGCTCTGAAATAACTCATTTTTGTGGCACCTATGGGCTATTGAGGCAATAATTACATCTAACCTTATACAACTCAGTCCTCCTTATTAGGGATGAAGGACCAAAACTGTTTTATACTGATAATCATAGGTGGTCAGTTCATGCTATGATAGTTGTCCGTACTTTAAAACAATATTTTCTGGTTTTGATATCTGGACTGTAGAGGGGTTAGTAAAGTTTTACTTGATGGACAGTTGGATTGATAGGAGTGTGTACAGTTTGGATCACATGTGCTTTTATTTTCTTTATAATTATAAACAGCTCAAGATATCCAATAAACGTGACAGGTATTGAGACAAACTAGAACACTACTTAGGGTACCTTGGACAGTTACAGAAGCAACTTTTTAAAACATTTTTTTAATAGTCGGCCTTCATTCACAAGGGTTTGTTAAAATACTTCTATGAATCCTGGATCTTTCTGTCAGGAGCTTGCACAAAATCTAGCATAAAAAATGTTTTAGTGCGTAATTACACACATTTATGCCATTTTATACACTTGTGCATAAACTCATTCTGTTGGCTAGAATATTCATTTATTCTGTCCATTGAAATGAAGTATTGTGCATAAATAAATGTGTGTAAATTACAGTATTTCCACAAACATAAGACTTACTCTGAAAATGAGCCCCCTAGCATGATATTCAGACTGCTCTGTAATATAAGCCCTACCCCAAAAATAAGCCCTGGTCAAGATCAGCTTAAAAGTACAATACTTGTATTTTCACAATATATGATGTACGTCACTAATTATGTCATAAGCTGCAAACCGTGGACAAGATGAGTGCAAAAAAGAGCAAGACTGTCAAGTACAAGAAAGTGATCATGTAGGACTCCCAGGGCAAGAACATCATGGCTTTCTGCAAAGAGAAGAAGTTGGATCTCCGCATGGTCCAAAAATGGCGAGCAGAGTATGATAACCTCATGCAACAGGTGGACAAGGGAAGTGCTAAGAAGTGCAAGTGTGGATCAGGCCGGCAATCATTATTTCCTGAGCTAGAAGACATCATTTGTGAATGAATTGCCGACCATTTGTTCTACAGGGTTTAGCGTTGAGAGAAATTCAGGCTGGAATTCAAGGTTATGACAATATTCCAGAAGAAGATGACATGACTGTATTTGAATAAATGTAGATTGGTGTACATGGATAAATATGACACCCCCTGAAAATAAGCCCTAGTGCATATTTTGGAGCAAAAAGTAATATAAGTCCTGTTCTTATTTTTGGGG